TCTTGTGTACAGCACTTCATCTACTTGGGTCTAGTTCGGTTGTTGTAAAGTGCTTTATAAATAAAGTTTGCTTGCTTGATTGATTTCCTTAGAGAGAGGCTTTTGCAAGAGGCTAACACAAAACACCAGGACTTCCAAAATGTGAGCCAATCTCTGAGCTCCTTCTTAAATAATCTACCTAACAACAAGATTAACCCCCAAGATGATTTGACTCAGGTCAATGCCAAGCAGAACTCTCAGAAGGTTAGACCTGTAGACTATATATAAAATAAATAATCTGATTAAAAAAAGAAAAAAAAAGAAAAATTCTCACTATGTGGTTGTTTTCTTTTACTTGAAAGAGGGTGATAGAGGATATAAAAAGGAAAGGTGATGACATGGACAGGGTGGTTGATCTCTCCAAGGATCTCCAAAATACTCTCAAAGTAAGTCAAATGTTTGGGATACAGTAACATTGTAACATGTTTGGGCTGCATGTATCCAGAATCACACACCAAATATAACTTTTTATTTAAATGGGGTATAAAACTGTGGAAAAAAAACCTCTAATTATAAAATTGTGTGGCACAAACTGTTATGTATACTGTGTAAATTGTATATTGTATTTATTTTGGGCAGGAATATGAGATGAATTGTGATAAGTACAAAGCTACTCTTGATGACACACCTGTGACAAATGCTAAAAGGCTTCACACCGCCACCCTAGCTAGCGCTGTTGCAAAGCAGGTGAGTTATTTGAAATGTAAAACATTAGAAATGTTTATATTAATTAAATACTTAATTCCATATTATGTTTTGCTACAGGAGAAGGATCTTACAAACCATTATGCTGAAACAGCTGCTGAGAGTGACCAGTTACTAAACCAGATGAATTTTGCAAAGAGCATCATGTCTGAGGTGCAAATGAGAGAGCAACAGTTTTCATGTTTACCACTAATCAAAAGGCTTAATTTGTATTATACTGCAATTCATTTTATCTTTGTTATGAAAATAATCATGTGACTCTTCAAACTGATCACCTTTGAAATATTAACTGGTCTTACTTCTATTTACACAGAATGTGGTAAAAGTAAATGCCGTACATCAACAGCAACAGCTGCAACAAAAAGCCTCTGAGGACACTGAAGCTCTGCAGAAAGAATTAAAGGAGGAAATTGCCAAAAATACCAATACAGAGAATAGCCTGAGCACCATCAAGAACAGATATTTATCTCTGAAAAGTCGAAGAGGCGTAGAGCGAGTGGAGGAGAAAGAAGTTCTGCAGTATTACCGTGACCCAAAACTTGAGTCCAATTTGGAGGACTTTCAAAAAAAGATTCACGAAGAAGCACTGAAACGCACCAAAACACAAAGTGAGATTGAAGTAATGACTAGAAAGATCACTAGCCTAGAAAGTGAACTTAAGAACACTAAACCCAAACTAGTCACAAGAGAGGTGACAGAGGTAGAGAAAGACCCCCAGCTGGATGTAGAAGCATCAAATATTCGAGAAAAAATAAGCAAACTGAGAAGTGAACTTAAAATTAAAGAACAAGATAAGGCTTACCTGCAATCAGAGATGACAATTTTGGAGCAAAAGAAGCAAATCATAAAAGAGACGGTTGTGCAAAAGGAAGTGGTAAGACAGGAGAAAGATCCAACAATGTTGAAGGCAGTTAGGACATTCGAGATGGATATCTCAGATGAAGGTGAGAGGTGCAAGTCACTGAAGAGTGAAATCTCCCAAATCAGAAGCCAGATCAATTCTTTAGAGATGCTCATCCCAACTTTAGAGCCAAAAGTTGTCACCAAGGAGGTGAAAAGGGTTGAGCAGGACCCTGTACTTATAAGTGAGTCTAAAGGGCTTCTGACTACAATAGAAGAATTGAAAACTGAGAACAAAAGTCTCTTGATTGAGCTTAGTACCCTTCAGTCACACCATGTTCGAATACAACAGATGAAGCCCCAAGTGGAAGTCAAAGAAATCATAAATGAGAACTTCAGGGTGGCACCTGAGACGGAGGCAGAGATGCAACGCTTGAGATGGGAGCTTCAAGACAGTAGCAGGAAGGGCTCAGACTTTGAGCGACAAATTAGTATTTTAAAAACGGAGCTTAATGCTCTGCATTCACAGAAACCCAAAGTTGAGTATAAGGAAGTAGTTCAGGTGGTTGAAAAAGAGGAAAGAAGTCCAGAGAATGTAAGAGAAATACAGAGGCTCTCAGATCAAGTATACTCCCTGCAAAAAACCTACAGTACTTTGCAGGATGAGGTTTTCCGTCTTAGAAAAGACAGGGATGAGTGGAAGACTGAAAAGTCAAAAGTTGAGACCAAGATTGTCACAAAAGATGTAACTAAATATGTTGATGACCCACTTCTGGAGAAGGAGGCAGATCGTCTCAGGAGAGAGATCCGTGAGGAAACTCAGAGGCGAAGAACTATAGAGGAAATGGTATTTGATCTTCAGAATAAATACATTCAGCTCGAGAGACAAAAACCAGAGGAAAAAGTAGTAGTGCAAGAGGTGGTGCGTCTACAAAAGGACCCAAGGCAGATCCTTGATCATGATAGGCTGGGAAGGAGTCTAGATGAAGAAGTGAAGAATCGTAGAAAATTGGAGTTAGAGGTGCAGCAGATGAGAGCAGTCATACAAGATAAGGAGATAACCATAAGGAGCAGTGATGAAAGGCAAAAAAAGATACAGGTGGAAACTGAGCTGAGACAAATTAAATCTAGGATCCATGAGCTAGAAACTGCTCCACCACCTATTGAAGAGAACATAGTTATAGAGGAAGTTCTGAAAGTTGAGAGGGATCCAAAATTAGACAAACTGACCAATGGTCTTCGGACAGACATGGATAAGGAGAGCAGTGACATTATGCGCTTAGATAGAGACATCAGGAAAATGACATTCGAAATAGAAATCTTGCAGCGAGAGAAATCAGTTGAGAAGACCATCTATAAAGAGGTTGTTCGAGTAGAGAAAGATCAAGCAGTGGAAGCAGAACGGTCCCACCTTAGAGAACTGTTACAACAGGAGAAAAATGCCAGACGAGATCTTGAGGATGAACTCCATCGTCTAGATGAGAAACTGCAGCGACAAGCAAGCAAAAGAACAACCACGTCCCTGGAGGAGACCAACCTGATTCATGATCGGGACAAGCTGCAAAGAGAAAAAGAAAACCTCCAGAGAGAGCTAAGAACTTTGGAATCTGAAAGACAAAATATCAGCATCTCATTCCACCAGCAGTCAAGGCTTATGAGTGAGAGAAATCAAATGAATAGGCAAAAAAGCATTAAAATGGAATCTGATGTTCAAAGGCAAGAAAGGGAGATCCTGGAAGAGAAGGACACAATTCACAAGCGAGATAACATAATCAGGGAGCTACAGAACAGTTTGAGGAAGGAGGATTCCTCAGAGACTCGCAGCACTAAGGAAGTCAATGTCTCCACAAAGATTAGTATCTTAGACCCTAACACTGGTAAAGACATGTCACCATATGATGCCTACATGAAAGGCTTCATCGATCGCAGCCAGTACATGCAATTACAGGAACTGGAGTGCGACTGGGAGGAAACCACCACAATGGGACCTGATGGTGAGATTTCTGTTTTGCAAGATCGCAAGAGTGGCAATCAGTACTCAATCAAAAATGCACTAAAAGAAGGCAGGGTGACTAAATACCAACTACAACAGTACAAGGATGGCAAAATGCCCATCTCAGAGTTTGCACTTCTTGTGGCTGGTGAAACAAAATCTCGGTCATACACCCCAGTTAGCAGCCAACCAACTCAGCTTAATGAAGTGTTTCCCATCTGCGGCGTGTATGATGTACACACTGATTCATGTCTAAATGTGCGCAGTGCCATGGTTCGAAAGATGATTGACACCAACACTGCTCAAAAGCTTCTTGAAGCACAAGCAGCCACTGGTGGCATCATGGACATCAGCAACAGCACAAAATATTCTGTCAACAAAGCAGCTGATCGAAATTTGATTGAGCCCAGTCAACTACAGCGGTTACTAAATGCTCAGAAGGCCTTTACTGGGGTTGAGGACCCTGTGACTAAAGAGCGTCTATCAGTCGGAGAAGCTGTACAGAAAGGGTGGATGCCCAAAGAGAATGCCATGAGATACATGGAGGCACAATTTCTGACAGGTGGGTTGGTCAACCCCAACAAAGCAGGAAGAGTTAACATTGTGGATGCCGTCAGCTCTAAGATGATTAACAGTACAATGATGAGAGAGCTTCAGGAAGAGATCAACTATGCAAAAGAGCTGATTGATCCCATCACAAAGGAGAAGATCAACTACAAGCAGGCTTTGGCTCGTTGTACGACAGACCGACTCTCAGGTCTTCCTATGATTCCTGCTTCCTCCAAAGATTCTGCCTATGCTACCGCATATTTCCCTCATACATAGACACTAATAATCTACATAAGTTTACAACATTTATCATGCATTCAAGTTTCTGCACTGTCAACCATTTCTCCTTGGCTAAGATGAAAACATTATATTTCACACAAAAAACAGTCAAGTCCTGGAACCAGTTTATAATTGCAAGTTTTTAGTGGGTGTGTTGATTCAGTTTGTTCCAGTTAAAAAATCTGCAACACCAGGAAAAAGATTTTAAGATAATTAATGTATAACAATAATGGTAACACTTTACAATAAGGTTCATTAGTTAACATTAGTTAACTACATTAGTTAGCATGAACTAATGATGAACAGCGCTTATACAGCATTTATTAATCTTTGTAAACGTTAATTTCAATATTTACTAATACTTTATTAAAATCTTGTTAACATTAGTTAATGTGCTGTGAACTAACATGAACAAACAATGAACAACTTTATTTTTATTAACTAACATCAACGAAGATTAACAAATACTGTTACAAATGTATTGCTCATGGTTAGTTCATGTTAGTTAATACATTAACTATTGTTAACTAATGAACCTTATTGTAAAGTGTTACCACAATAAACGTTTAGTGATAAAACATTTTTTGATCTGGTCTGTACTTGTAATACAATTTGTTGTAAATCTGAGGTGCTATAAAATCTCTAAAATTTGAACACATTACTAACATTAGTTATATTTAATCTCAGCTGATGAGATGCTTACGTTTACTTAATTTTTACATAATGTAATGGGGCAGAATATTGTAACACAGAACAAAGGGAATATTTATCCAAAAAAAAAAACAACCAAACAAACAAACAAACAAAAAAAAATAACATGTTATGCGTGTTTTATTTGCATGGTATGATGGGCCAGAAGAGCAATTTCTGATTTCAAATCATTATACTTTTAATTATTTATGTCTTTACCATTCTCTTTACTTTCTAATACTGCTGAAAATAAAACTGCAACAATGATTTCTGTCTTTTTTGTTTCTAATTTGTTCTACTAAATGTCAACACACAAAGAGTGGTATTAAATGTATTATTTGTAGGCATAACATTTTATTAAGCAGAACACATACTGTGATATTTCTTTGTAATTGTGCTTAAATGTATTTAGTTATTTTTAAAATACATTTTAAAAGCATTTCTTTCTAAGTAAACAGAGGTATAGTGTTTGACCTACCTCCTGCACTAGACATCAAAAATCCAAATTCTGTAAAAATCCAACTGACAATCCTACACTTTTGAGAGGTTGACACAAAGTCACACATTCTCAAATTGTACAAAAACACATTGATAAATAGTTCTCAGTTGATCACATTTCACAGGATATGTATGAGGGCTCTCAGCGTGGAGCTTGCACATTCATCTTAGTCTCTCTCTCCTTAAAGAAGCGTCTCTGTTCCATAATGGCCTGTTGCATTAGTGCAAGGTCTACTCCATCAACACAAGCCAAAGCACGGGCATGCAGTATATTTCCACTTAATCCTGAATGCAGAAGCAACAGAAAAATACTGGTTAAAACAATTAGTCTGGTAAAACACACAGACATTCAGAGTACAAACAACAAAACTGCCTCTAGATTTACACTGAGTAGGCAGAAACTTGTTTTAATCATGTTGTCTTATTCAAACTCACCATCAGTATTTTCAATTTCACCCAGGACAAAATACTGAGCTCCAAGTATGGGCTGGAAAGGTTCAACAAGTGTTGTTTTTACAGACACGTGGCACTGTGCAGAGGACTGCTGACCACTTAGAACAGCTTTGGACTCTTCTGGCACGTAACTTGTAAATCTAGATGGACACAAGCTAAATTTTATTTTTAAATATTTTTACAAGCGAAAGAAATACATGATGATTAAAAATTCAAAAAATTAAAACTATTGATCAATATTTACTAGCAATTATAACAAAACAAAAGAGCTAAGAGACAAGAAAAAGCGACTGGATCCTTAGGCCCATCCACACTACTGCGTTTTCGTTTAAAAACGGAGCCCTTTTGCTATGTTTGCACCTCCCGTCCAGACTAAAACAGAGAAGTTTAGAAACACTGCAGCTCCGTTTTGCTTTTTGAATCTCCGGAGGGCGTTTTAGTGAAGATGGGACAAAACGGAGGACTTGTTGCAAAATGCTGACACAGAGGCTCACGCTCGGCTCTATGATTGGGTGTCATCAGTCGTGACGTGTCCTTCACTGATTCGTCAGCCACCGTTTGCACCGGCACGCACATGCCCAGTGTTGGTGAATGGTCCCGTGATCCGCGTTTTCAGTCGTTTTAATGTGGACTGAGATCAATTCTAATACGCAGATAAAACGCTGGTGTGGACGTAGATCGTATTCGTTTTAATTCTCCGTTTTTAAACAAAAACAAAGTAGGGTGGACAGGGCCTTAAAGGTATAGCGGAGGATTTTCTTTTTCCGGGTGGGTAGTCTATACTATTGGTCCACCTAAGTGTCAATCATTCTGGTGATATGTTTACGTAAGGCCATCGTACGTGCTCATCCCTATGCAGTTTTCACCTTCAGGTGTATTATGTCGGAGTTACGGTTTCAGCCATTCCTTTGAAAATGGCTGAGGGTCGAAAGAGAAAAAATGTGTACGAAGTGTATGATAAGAAAAGAAAGGCCGCAGAATATAGAAACAAGACCAGAGTGATTTTGGGTGAATATCACACGCTGGCGTGCGCTAAAAGCACAAGTTGGGCTTCTCACTGATGCCGCAGTCGCGAAGATTCTACTAGACAGGTAAAGTTTGTCATGCTATTTGGAGAAATCCATTTAAAATCACTAGTAAAAGTTAATGCAAATACAATAGCACTGCTTATATGCAAAATAGTTCCCTCAGAACGTATTTCATGTGCTACAGGGTTGCACATATCATGTCTTGAGTCCTCGGTCACTCAATCGATCAGTATAATAAGTAAATAAAACACGGAAGGGCATTTGACATGTTGTCTTTTTTATGAATGTTTTTGAGTTAGTTTAGAATTTGCAACATAATTGTGCAAGGCGTAATAGGCGTTCCCTCTCGGGAGCAAGAGTGTTGTGTTTGTGCATTTTTTTTAAAAAAATTTGGAGAGGGCGGGTCTTCTCTAAAATTCTGAAAGATCCTCCGCTATACCTTTAATATAGCCTAATAACAAAAGTACAAAAAAAAACAAAACAAGAGAAGCGAACTAAGCTCACAACAATACACCCACAAACAGACAAGGCTTGACCTAACAGTGGAAACAAAATGGAAAATGGGTAACGAGAAAAATAACAAGGGAAACAGACTACAAACTAAACGTGAGCATAAAAAAGAAACAGAAGACAAAATCATGAAATCCATTATTTCGTAAATGGTGTTAAAAAATGGTATACAATTTGGAGCAAAAGTAGAAATCTAAAACTGAACTGTGGAAAGGTTCCAGAGCATTAATTTAATTGCACACACTTACAGAAAGTTATGGAAGCTTGTTTCCGCCACAGAATAAAAAAATAAAATAAATAATTGTGACTTTTTATCTCACAATTCTGACTTTTTTTCTCACAATTGCGAGTTTATATCTCGCAATTCTGACTTTATTTCTCAGAATTGCGTGATATAAAGTCGCAATTGCGAGTTATAAAGTCAGAATTGCATGTCATAAAGTCAGAATTGCGAGATATAAAGTCAGAATTGCGTGATATAAAGTCAGAATTGCGTGATATAAAGTGGCAATTCTGAGAAAAAAAAAGACAGAAGTGCTACTTTTTATCTCACAATTCTGACTTTTTTTTCTCACAATTGCGAGTTTACATCTCGCAATTCTGACTTTATAACACATAATTGCGAGTTTATATTTCCGGTGAAATACCGACATCTTTTCTCAGAATTGTGAGATATAAACTCGCAATTGCGACTTATCAGGCCAATTCTAAGGGGAAAAAAGACTAACTTTTTTCCCCCTCAGAATAGTTTAAATCTCACAATTCTGACTTTATATCATGCATTTCTGACTTTATAACACGCAATTGCGACTTTATATCTAGCAATTCTGACGTTATATCTCGCAATTCTGTCTTTATATCTTGCAATTCTGACTTTATAACTCGCAATTCTGACTTTATATCACGCAATTCTGACTTTATACCTCGCAATTCTGACTTCACATCTCGCAATTCTGACTTTATATCACGCAATTCTGACTTTATATCTCGAACTTGCGACTTTATATCACGCAATTCTGACTTTATATCTCGCAATTCTGACTTTCCATCTCGCAATTGTGAGAAATAATGTCAGAATTGCGAGAAGTAGCCTAAACTCACAGTTGTGAGAAAAAAAGTCAGAATTGTGAGATAAAAATTCGCAATTACCTTTTATATCTTTCATTCTATGGCGGAAACAAGCTCCCATAGAAAGTAGGCTACTATTAATATATTATAGTAATTATTTCAGCATTTTCTGCTATATTGTCCGTCAATGAGAAAATGTATAAAATTAGTAAAACACAAACATGTTTTCCCTAATATTTGGAGAGGCTACAACACCGAACGTGACACCTATCTTAATAATTTTGGATTCTGGTTCAAAACAAAACTATCTGTTTAGCATAGTTATATTTTAGGCTAAATTTAGTTACATCCTAAAATGCAAATTCTATAAACATCTTTTTCAATGTTCACATGAATGAAATGTTTTACAAAAGAACAAATAAATGTAACCAACATTTTTAGTCACAAACACGGAAGTTCGCAGCACTTCTCGGAATAGATTATTAAGCAGTTAAACTAAAGATATAACGGGGTTACATGAATAAAAATCGCACCTAAACATTTCCGACAACTTTAACAAGTGGACCGACCTGCCAAACGTTCGCACTGACACACCATCTTTTACCAGGTCTGTATTGATCTCCCAAGGAAAGTAAAACGCGGCTGGAGACGGCAGCATATCAGTTTAACATGCATATAGATACTTGAATCATTAGAAATTAAGATTTTTTTAGTTACTTCACACTTATCTCCATTTAATCAACAGCTGTGTTCGACATCGTCTGCGCTTACATGTAAAACTGATCGGCGAAGGAGAAGCTGAAAACGGAACGTGTAGTCAGACACATCTGCTTCCCGTAGTGACGCTCGCGCGGTCATAGATGTAATATAGGTAGATTCCCTATCGACCAGCACGGACGAGCCGTGGAGCCGCCATCTTAAACCGGTCATCCGCTCAGTCTGATTTGTTTGGCAGGTGATATGAGCTGTCAGCACACTTAAAGGTCCCCTGACATGAAATTTTCATTAGGGCCCGAGCACTAACAGTGCCAGGACCCTCTTGAAACTGTGAGGGTTATTTTTTTTTTAGGGCCCAAGCCCTGAAAGGGTGAAGGCCCTATTGTTAGGGCCCGAGCACTAACAGTGCGAGGACCCTATTGGAACTGTTAGGGTTATTAGGGCCCGAGCACTAACAGTGCGAGGACCCTCTTGAAACTGTTAGGGTTATTTTTTTTTTTTCTTTTTTCTTTTTAGGGCCCGAGCACTAACAGTGCGAGGACCCTATTGAAATTGTTAGGATTATTATTATTATTTTATTTTTTTATTTTTTTCTGCAAAGTAAGTGCCATTTTCGGGGCCGCAACATGCTCAAAAACTCACCAAATTTGGCACGCATGTCAGGACTGGTGAAAAATTTCGTATTTTGTGGGTTTCGCAGATGGGCGGGGCAAAATGGCACGCTAGCGCCACCTAGAAAATTGGAAAAAATTAGCCCCTCGTCCACGTTCAACCTACATGCACGAAATTTGGTGGGGACGTGTATCATATCAAGACGCACAAAAAAGCCTCAAGAACCTATACCCTAAACTCGACAGGAGGTCCGCCATTTTGAATTTGGCGGCCATTTTTGGACGATTTACAGACTCCGTACTTTAACGAACTCCTCCTAGGGATTTAGTCGGATCGACTTAAAATTTCTGCTGTGCCTTCTAAAGGCATTGACGATGTAAAGTTGTGCTATCTGCGTGTTTTCGTCGATGGGCGTGTCCGTGGCGTCGAAGATTCGCCATGAAACAGGAAGTTGTACTAACTTGGCTGTAAATGCCCAGATCTGCACGAAATTTTACACATTTGACAAGAGTCACGCCCTGAATAAATCTACATGCCGACATTCACCCACAGTCATAGCGCCACCTGCTGGCAACAGGAAGTGACCTTTAACGAAGCAGCCCCCGCCGCTTGTTTGACCGACATGTACGAAATTTCTGTGGTACATCTACCATGACCAAACGCACAAAAAAGCCTCAAGTACCCATACCCTAAACTCGACAGGAAGTCCGCCATTTTGAATTCGGCGACCGATTTGGGACGATTTACACACTCCGTACTTTAACGAACTCCTCCTAGGGATTTAGTCGGATCAACTTCAAATTTCTGCTGTACCTTCTAAAGGCATTGACGATGTAAAGTTGTGCTATCTGCGCGTTTTCGTCGATGGGCGTGTCCGTGGCGTCGATGATTCGCCATGAAACAGGAAGTTGTAGTAACTTGGCTGTAAATGCCCAGATCTACACGAAATTTTACACATTTGACAAGAGTCCCGCCCTGAACAAATCTACATGCCGACATTCACCCACATTCATAGCGCCACCTAGTGGCAAGAGGAAGTGACATTTAACGAAGCAGCCCCCGTCGCATGTTTGACCGACATGTACGAAATTTCTGTGGTACATCTACCATGTCCAGACGCACAGAAAATTCTCTTGGAGCGATGCCCTAAACTCAACAGGAAGTCAGCCATTTCTAATTTTACCGCCATTTTTGGATGATTTACTCATTACGTACTTTAACTAACTCCTCCTAGGGCTTTAGTCGGATCGCCTTCAAATTTCTGCTGTGCCTTCTAAAGGCATTGACGATGAAAAGTTGTGCTATCTGCGCGTTTTCGTCGATGGGCGTGTCCGTGGCGTCGATGATTCGCCATGAAATAGGAAGTTGTAGTAACTTGGCTGTAAATGCCCAGATCTGCACGAAATTTAACACATTTGACAAGAGTCCCGCCCTGAACAAATCTACATGCCGACATTCACCCACAGTCATAGCGCCACCTGCTGGCAACAGGAAGTGGCCTTTAACGAAGCAGTGTGGCAAATGCACAGCCGCACTGGCTGAGCTGCAGAAAATGAAACGCGGCCGCCTCAGACCCCGACGTGCTACAGGTGCGAGGGCCCGCCCATCGCTGCTTGCAGCTTTAATTAGGGCCCGAGCACTAACAGTGCGAGGACCCTATTGAAACTGTTAGGATTATTTTTTTTTTCTTTTTTCTGCAAAGTAAGTGCCATTTTCGGGGCCGCAACATGCTCAAAAACTCACCAAATTTGGCACGCATGTCAGGACTGGTGAAAAATTTCGTATTTTGTGGGTTTCGCAGATGGGCGGGGCAAAATGGCACGCTAGCGCCACCTAGAAAATTGGAAAAAATTAGCCCCTCGTCCACGTTCAACCTACATGCACGAAATTTGGTAGGGACGTGTATCATATCAAGACGCACAAAAAAGCCTCAAGAACCCATACCCTAAACTCGACAGGAGGTCCGCCATTTTGAATTTGGCGGCCATTTTTGGACGATTTACAGACTCCGTACTTTAACGAACTCCTCCTAGGGATTTAGTCGGATCGACTTAAAATTTCTGCTCTGCCTTCTAAAGGCATTGACGATGTAAAGTTGTGCTATCTGCGCGTTTTCGTCGATGGGCGTGTCCGTGGCGTCGAAGATTCGCCATGAAACAGGAAGTTGTAGTAACTTGGCTGTAAATGCCCAGATCTGCACGAAATTTGACACATTTGACAAGAGTCCCGCCCTGAACAAATCTACATGCCGACATTCACCCACAGTCATAGCGCCACCTGCTGGCAACAGGAAGCGACCTTTAACGAAGCAGCCCCCGCCGCTTGTTTGACCGACATGTACGAAATTTCTGTGGTACATCTACCATGACCAGACGCACAAAAAAGCCTCAAGAACCCATACCCTAAACTCGACAGGAAGTCCGCCATTTTGAATTCGGCGACCGATTTGGGACGATTTACACACTCCGTACTTTAACGAACTCCTCCTAGGGATTTAGTCGGATCAACTTCAAATTTCTGTTGTACCTTCTAAAGGCATTGACGATGTAAAGTTGTGCTATCTGCGCGTTTTCGTCGATGGGCGTGTCCGTGGCGTCGATGATTCGCCATGAAACAGGAAGTTGTAGTAACTTGGCTGTAAATGCCCAGATCTACACGAAATTTTACAAATTTGACAAGAGTCCCGCCCTGAACAAATCTACATGCCGACATTCACCCACATTCATAGCGCCACCTAGTGGCAAGAGGAAGTGACATTTAACGAAGCAGCCCCCGTCGCATGTTTGACCGACATGTACGAAATTTCTGTGGTACATCTACCATGTCCAGACGCACAGAAAAGTCTCTTGGAGCGATGCCCTAAACTCAACAGGAAGTCAGCCATTTCTAATTTTACCGCCATTTTTGGATGATTTACTCATTACGTACTTTAACTAACTCCTCCTAGGGCTTTAGTCGGATCGACATCACATTTCTGATGTGCCTTCTAAAGGCATTGACGATGTAAAGTTGTGCTATCTGTGCGTTTTCGTCGATGGGCGTGTCCGTGGCGTCAAAGATTCGCCATGAAACAGGAAGTTGTAGTAACTTGGCTGTAAATGCCCAGATCTGCACGAAATTTTACACATTTGACAAGAGTCCCGCCCTGAACAAATCTACATGCCGACATTCACCCACATTCATAGCGCCACCTGCTGGCAACAGGAAGTGACCTTTAACGAAGCAGCGTAGCAAATGCACAGCCGCACTGGCTGAGCTGCAGAATATGCAACGCAGCCGCCTCACACCCCGACGCGCTACAGGTGCGAGGGCCCGCCCATCGCTGCTTGCAGCTTTAATTTCTTTTTTCTTTTTTCTTTTTTCTGCAAAGTAAGCGCCATTTTCGGGGCCTCAACATGCTCAAAAACTCACCAAATTTGGCACGCATGTCAGGACTGGTGAAAAATTTCGTATTTCGTGGGTTTCGCGGATGGGCGTGGCAAAATGGCTCCCTAGCGCCACCTAGAAAATTTGAAAAAATTAGCCCCTCGTCCACGTTCAACCTACAAGCACGAAATTTGGTGGGGACGTGTATCATATCAAGACGGACAAAAAAGCCTCAAGAACCCATACCCTAAACTCAACAGGAAGTCGGCCATTTTGAATTTGGCGCCCATTTTGGGACGATTTACACACTCTGTACTTTAACGAACTCCTCCTAGGGATTTAGTCGGATCGACTTCAAATTTCTGCTGTGCCTTCTGAAGGCATTGACGATGTAAAGTTGTGCTATCTGCGCTTTTTCGTCGATGGGCGTGTCCGTGGCGTCGATGATTCGCCATGAAACAGGAAGTTGTAGTAACTTGGCTGTAAATGCCCAGATCTGCACGAAATTTTACACATTTGACAAGAGTCCCGCCCTGAACAAATCTACATGCTGACATTCACCCACAGTAATAGCGCCACCTGCTGGCAACAGGAAGTGACCTTTAACGAAGCAGCCCCCGTCGCATGTTTGACCGACATGTACGAAATTTCTGTGGCACATGTCCAGACGCACTGAAAAGTCTCTTGGAGCGATGCCCTAAACTCAACAGGAAGTCGGCCATTTCGAATTTTACCGCCATTTTTGGATGATTTACTCAATACGTACTTTAGCTAACTCCTCCTAGGGCTTTAGTCGGATCGACTTCACATTTCTGCTGTGCTTTCTAAAGGCATTGACGATGTAAAGTTGTGCTATCTGCGCGTTTTGGGCGTGTCCGTGGCGTTGATGATTCGCCATGAAACAGGAAGTTGTAGTAACTTGGCTGTAAATGCCCAGAGCATGAAATTTTACACCTTTGACAAGAGTCCCGCCCTGAACAAATCTACATGCCGACATTCACCCACAGTCCTAGCGC